CATTTAAACCGTCTCTGTTAGGTGTTGTCACTCTCCAGCAACTTCCACCAATTACTCTGGATGTCGTGTGGATTTCGTCTGTAATAAATAAAACAACAGAGCAGGACTGGCTACTGAAACAAACTACAGCAGAAGGGCCTGAGGAATAATGACTACAACACAGCAGGGGAGGCGTGAGGACACCATGACTGCCACTTTAATCGATTTATGATATTAGAGGAATAGTTGTTGCCTGATAATTTATTAAGTTATAAATCTCATATATTATGAACTCTACTATTAGTACACTCATTTTAGGGTGTCGTGTGTTGTTCTTCTGGAAATCATTTCTCCATAAGACTGAATGGTGTCAGTCTTTTATTGCAGCCAATGGTACTGCCCCCTGCTGGTCATAAGAGAGAATACAGGTTTAAGACACTTCACAGACCTGGAAGTTCTGTCCATTATATATACTGTGAATGGTTACACCCTTTAAAATCAAGAAGGCCTTGCAACCCCCTGTGAAGCTACATATGTTAAATGTGATTGTAAAGTAAATGTTTTCTATATAGATTAAATATAACCATTGTTTCCACTGCATTTGAATTAAGAGGATGATCTGCACATGTATAATGCTGATGGAAGAATGTTTTCTATGTAACCTCAATGTCTTAAAATCTTTCATCTTTCAGCAAATTAGACATCTGGATGTCTTGTCAACTACAAAAGACAGAAAATGAGCTAAAGAAGTTGGTCAGTGAAGAAGTTTTCCACCTCAACCAATAGCAGAAAAAAAGCTAATTCCACACAATAAGAGTCTAAACTCCCGGGTATGATTTATGTCTGTAAACATCTCATGAGACCAACCCGTCTCTGACCACAGGGAGGCGCTAACACTCCACCTGAGCTCAGAGAAATCCCAGCGTCGCTGCAGATCTCGAGGGCTATTTAAAGAAGCCGTTGCCCCGCGGCTGTCACTGAGGAATGCTGCGCTGATCACACATGCAGGGCCGTCCAACGAGCTGCTGGCACACAGACTGACTGACTGCAGATTACAACTACACAGCAGCATATGGCTGAATGCAGGAACACATGCTGTATTCACATTCTGCACATACATGCACACAGGAGCTCGGATAGAAGAAAATACATGTTTGAATGTGAGACAGTTTGCATCCTATAAACACTCACACTCGGGCCCCTAATCTCAAATCTCACAGTTTGTTACAGAGAATGTGTGTTTTCCTGTCTATTATATTTAACACTAATTCCTTTACAAACCTCTTTTTGTGTTACACTGATATCGACCACAAA